CATAGACACCATGGTCTTCATTAGGGATTTGGTCTTTTACGGATCTGATGAGATTGGACAACTTGGAGTGAGTAGTGAAGATAGTTTTGATGTTTAGAGGAAGGAGAGTTCTACTGATTTTGCCAGTGACACCTTTAATAAAAGGTAGAAAGATTTTGGGTTGATCCGGCGGCAAGGTTTCTTTTTTGGATGGAATGAGGTTTAGATGTTTTTGAATGCTCTTATTGATTTGGGTTTTGTGGTAGCCGTTTTGTAAGAGTGTTTGTCTTATTGAATTGATTTCGGATGACCTATGATTGATGTCGCTAAGTCTTATGGAACGAGAAATGAGAGTGTTGACCACTGAATTCAGTTGGGCGGGGTGATGATGTGACTGGGCATTAAGATATCGGTTTGTATGAGTGGGTTTCCGGTATACGGAATAGGAAAAACTGTGAGGTAAGCTTTCTGAATAAGGACATCAAGGAATGGCAAAGACGCTTTAGACTCGACTTCCATCGTGAATTGAATACTAGGATGTATTCAATTCAGGTGGGAGAGGAAGAGATCTAACGCGTCCCTACCATGAGGCCAAATGACAAAAGTGTCATCAACATACCGTAACCAGCAGGTGGGTTTAAGATTTGATGAGGACAGGGCTGCTGTTTCGAAATGTTCCATGAAAATATCAGCTATTACGGGAGAGAGGGGAGATCCCATTGGGGCACCTTTGATTTGACGATAGAAATGATTTTGGAATGAGAAGTATGTATTAGACATGCAGTGTTTTATAAGAGATAGTGTGTCTTGGGGGATTTGATGTTGGAGTCTTGGAGTCCAAGATGGAAATGGTTTCATCGATAGGAATATTGGTGAACAAAGAAACAATGTCAAAACTAACTAGTATATCTGAGGGAGAAATAGAAATATTTTCCATCTATCACATCATAAATCACATCTTCAGTAGATGTGATTGTTTTAAATTAGAAATTAAAAATTGCACAGATAACGAAAAATTAAGCAAGGTTAAAGGAAGAAAACAATTTGCACTTATAAGGGTAAGCAAACTCATTATTTTTAAAATTTGATGAAATTTATACAAGTTTTTAACTCTAATTTATTAAAAGTTTGAGATTTATCCCTATTTTATTAATTATCTATTTTGACAACAGTTGGCAGCACGGTCATTTGAGAACGAGAATTAACTTTAAAGGAAATATTAAAATATCTCAATGAGAATGTTTACATTGTTTACAGTGGTCGATTGTATTTCAACGAATATAGACGAATATATGACGTCTATAGTCGTTGTGTATACCATTAAATAGAAAACTATTTTTATTTTTAAAGGAAATAATATATAAAACATGTTTATCTGCACAATTTTTTTTTAATATGTGATTATTTTAGAGTTGATGGAGGCTTGTCTAACAATGATTTTATATGTCAATTATTGGCTGATCTTACTGGTCTATGTATATTTCGGTTGTACACATCAGATATAGCTGTAATGGGTGTAGCTTTCGTCGCTGGAATATCTTGTGGTATGAAATGGTTTACATTATATGAGTTTTATTTGCATTAAGTTATTTTGTTTTATAGGATTTTGGAAAGGAAAAGAAGAGTTTAAACAATACTGTGATATTTCAAAATCATTCGAACCCTCAAGAGATGCAAACTATATTATAAAGTGTCGTAATACATACAGAAATTGGTTGTTGGCTGTGGATAGATTTAAATCGTGGTATCAAACAGATCAATTTAATCCTATGGAATAACAAAAGCTTAAAATTGTTATAAATTCTGTAATATTGGATCGTAAATAAAAAAATATTAATAACATCCTGATATTTGCAAAAAATCATGTCCTGGTTTTTTTTTTTGGATGATTTCAAATTTGAAAAATATTTTCGGCAGAAACTATTATGAATGGACGAAGTTTTTCAAGAAAAACTGATGGCTACATTGAGAATTTTAAATATCTCATTTTTCTCACAAAACATTTATTTGTTATTACTTATTATATTATTTTTTATTACTTATTATATTATTTGTTATTATGTAAAAATTAGATTATCTGGTGATTTAAAATTATACTTTAAAATAATTTAAATAAATGGGTGAAAGATACTAGTAGTTTTCTTTTAACAGTGATATATGTAGCGCTTATGAATATAGTATGGTATCTACTATTTCCCTGTAATACTGATATCCTTGTACTAACAGAGCTATTTAATAGATGTCTCCATATTAGCAAGATCCCTAAAGACTGGAACGAGAGTCTAGTAATACTCTTACACAACAAAGGGGACAAATGTGATCTACAGAATTATAGACCTATATCGTTGCTCAGTCAAGTATACAAACTATTTATGAGCATTATTAACAACCGGTTGACCTACAAAAGAGACAATTACCAACCGGTTGAACAGGCTGGCTTCCTATATTTCTTGCCTTCATCGACTATGAAAAGGCGTTTGATAGTATCGAGATGTGGGCCATAGAACAAGCTATTAATAATTGTAGAATAGATTCGAGATATAGGCAACTAATACATAATATATATATGAAAATGCAACTATCATGGTACTACTAGACGAAAATACAAATCCCATCCCCATTAAGAGAAGAGTGAGACAAGGAGACGTAATATCGCCAAAGCTTTTCAACTATCCCTAGAAGACCTCTTCAAAACTACAAATTGATCAACCTATGGCATTAACGTTAATGGCAACAAGTTAAACCACTTTAGACTCGCTGACGACATAGTGAGCACATTCGAGGAACTCCAAATTATGATAGGGGAACTAGCAGGCAGCTCCCAATACGTCGGCCTAAAAATGAATATGAAAAAAACAAAAATGATGAGAAACACAGACGTATAGCTATAAATGGCAGTGAGATAGAACAAGTCCTGGAATATAACCTAGGCCAAATCCTGAAACTTGACAAAGAGAACCAAAGTGTGGAAATTACTAGAAGATTTGGAAATCTTAGTTGGATACTTAAGAACCTAAAATACCCTAATACTTGAGGAGCAAAGTGTTCAACCAATGCATCCTTCCTATCATGACATATGGATGTCAAACCTGGACCCTAACCAAGGCAAACATGAATAACCTAGCCACAACCGAAAGAGCAATGTTAAGTATACGACTGTCAAATAAAAAGAGGAACGACTGGGTAAGATCAAAAACAAAAGTCGAGGAGATAACAACAAAAATTGCCAAACTTAAATGGAGCTTCGCGGGACACACTGCTAGACAAAAAGACCAACGTTGAAATACTACAACATTGAAGACGTTACGAAAGTAAACGACCAAGAGGAAGACCACAGATGAGATGGGTTGATGGCATTAAAAGAATAGCCGGAACAAATTGGAAATATGTTGCTCAGGATCGAGACCGATGGAAGGAGTTGGGAGAGACCTATGTCCAAACATGGAAGATAGAAAGCTAAGAAGATCTACTATTTTTGGGGTACCTTATCTTGGCATTCATCTTGGTTACCCATCCTGGGTACATTCCGATTGGTTGAAAACGAAAATCAAATATTTGGCCGGCAGTTAAACATATCAAAGAAAAAGATCACGGTAGTGGATAGACTACATAACAATCATCCACACATAACCACTATTGACCGGTTTGAGGTTGTGAGCTCATATTTATATCTGGGATCATTAATCACAAACAAAGGGTTACTACAGGAAGAAATAAAACGTAGATGTGATCTAGCAAAAGTCGCCGTACTAAAGATGGCCTAAATATGGAAGGACTCTCAAATTTCAGGAACCCAAAAAATGAGATTGATCAACTTCTTAATATTCCCAGTACTGAAATATGGATGTGAATCTTGGACCCTACGAAAAACGGAAAGAAGAAAGATAGACGCCACTGAAATGTTTTGTTGGAGAAGAATGTTACGAATTCCGTGAACCGACCACAGGACAAATATTTCAATTTTAATTGAGCTAAAAGTCAGTAAATGGCTATCCAGCAAAGTGCATATGACCAGAGACAGAGATCTTTGGAGGAGAACAATACACGGCATTACGATGACCACTACACTTCCTCCGGGGGTCAGGATTGAAGAGTGAGAGAGAAATAGAGATCTTGACAAATCATATGATATGATTCGTCGAGAGTTGTGTGGTAGATATGTATGAGAGAGTAACACTAGTGTTGAACAGGTGTGGTAGAGAATGATTTCATGTGAAAGTAGGTCTCCATCAAGACTCAGTGCATATATATTTTTATTAGTATTGAAATTTTCCGGTGGAGGCTGTAGGTTTCAATAGAACCAAGCACGTATGCTCATAGTCAATATTATTTGTTAATCAAATACCGTAAAATGGGGTGAGATTGATCTCCCGGGTAATATTGATCTTTTGTCGTTGTATCACATATTTGTAGATACAACCGGCAACAATGTAAAATTGTTTCTGGACGTGGCACTATTCATTTCTTGGATCTTGACTATGATCAGTTAACGTCGTTGTTATTTTGCAATTGGCATTGGAAAGAAGTTATGTGGCTTTGAAATTAACCATAATTTTTGACCTATTTTTATAGTTTGTGTACTTTTGATGGTAGAGAAATAACAGAGGTAAGTTCGCTATTTCTAGTGTTATAAAATTATTTTTTATGGTTCTGTAATAATAATTTTAAGTATCTAGCAGTTTAACTAACGGCAGCTTTTTTAAGATGGCGGATAATATTGAATGGGGTTATATCATGAACGTATTTATACGTCCATGGGTGATATTGATCAAGTGATCAGTCTAACCCCACGTTATGTACATTCTAGAAATTTATATCAATCAATCAATTATATCAATCAAAATGGGAAGAACGTACAAAAGACAATTAGGCAGTAGAACGTATGGCACTTTTAATTAAGAACAAGTTAATCAGGCGTTGCACGATGTATTGAAAAATGGATTATCGCTAGAAAAAGCCGCAAAAAATACAAATTGTCCTATGGAACTTTAAATAACAAGTAGATACCATGGAAGAAAGATTAAGAAAACTGGTGGACAATCTGTATTCACATATGAAGAAGAAGTAGCCATTATAAATAGCATTTTAACGTGTGCAGATTGGGATATCCTCTAAGTGCAATGAATTTGAGAATGTTCGTCAAAAGTTTTTTGGACAAAACTGGTAGAAGTGTATCTAGATTTAAGAAGAATATTCCTAGGTATTGACTAGGTAAATAGCTTGTTGAAGAGACACGGAGGTATTGCTGATAAAAGATTAGCAACTAATATTAAAAAAAGCCGAGCAGAAGTATCCCCGGACCTGATTAAAAAATACTTTGACAATTTACAACAAACGATTGAGAATGTTCCAGTTAAAAATATTTTCAGTTACGACGAGTGCAACATCTCATATCTCAGATGACCCCGGAAAAAAATGTGCATCTACCGAAGAGGTACTAAATATTCCGAAAAAATATGCAACCATTCAAAATCTGCTACATCGATAATGAGTTGTGGATCCGCCTAGGTATACTTCTGCCACCTTAGTCATATACAAGGCGGAAAATTTATGGGATACTTGGACAGAAAATGGACCCAAGAACAGCCCATGCTGCGAACAGTCATTTTGCTCACTGGGGACAGGATATAATCGAACCTCCCATGGTTGGATTGATATGTCAACATTCAATGATTGGTTTGTCATTTGCTTCTTACCACATGCTAGGCGACTCGATGGAAAAAAAGTATTAATAGGGGACAACTGTGGTGTTATTCCTTAAATATTAGAATTCACATATATAAAATATTATAATTCATACTCGTGTAACATTTAGCATCTTGTTTATATAAATATATTTAGTAATTTGAATCGAGGACATTCATAAATAATATACTCTAATTAGAATTGGTAGTCAGCACTATTGCCGACCACCACATGCTTGGCGTAGGTCATGAACAAACTTGACATACTAATAAGTAAACATTTGCTGATATAGCAAGGACTACCATAAAAGCCCCAACAATCATTCTCTCAGGGATCTTAATTAATATACCGCCACTATGGCCAGTAAGGCATCATCTATCGTCATACTCAATTAAGTACTGATATATTTAAGATTAGTTAATAGTAAAAGATTATACAAGCAGTGATTAATAAATGGGCAACTAAGTTACAACAAGTTATTTACCACCCCACAACATTATTTATTACATGGCGATCCTGAAGTGGTAGAAACCAGGAATCTTCATCCAGAGAAGATGAGAAGAAAATCCCACTGGAAGTTTAGATGGAAATTTGCATACTAGATATTATATGGAACCAATGCATTTCGAAATGGGAAAATGCATCAAGAGATAAGGAAATTCCGGACCAGACCAGCCGAGAGCCCCGCGACAGCATTCCAGCTAAGGACAATGGACAGTAAATGGGAAAATGGACTATGGAAAGTGTATAAATGGAGAATTGACAAAGGTGAAGTGATAAGGACCATATGTTAAATGTATTATGTAAGTAAATTTATTTTTTTATCCCTTGTATATAAATACAGTCTAACAAATTGAAATTAATAATTATTACTTGAGAAAAGTTATTAGAAATATAAAGAATTTAACTAGTTCAGGATGTTGAATATACAATTGTTATTGCTTTGAAAGTAGAGTATATAATTTATTTTTAAGTTTTCAGTAAATAACTTTATATAGCAAATTCTATTGTTTTAATGAAACAAATGTGTCATACATTTTATTTACTAAAGGTATATTTTTAAAAAAATTTATATTGTTGACCATGAAAATACACCGACTGATCGGAAATTTTAAATTACGACGTTATTTACCATGAATGGCATGAATTTGCTTAGATGACAAATTCTTCAAATAATATAGACGACGAAATTTGATATGACTTTTTATTTTACTATTTAAATTAGGATATTTAGAATTATTGTTACATTTTAAGGGAGGAAAATAATTTAGAAGAACTTTTAAAGACAATTGACCATGGCGTCAGAAAAATTTTCGTTGCGTTGGAACAATTTCCACGAAAATATAAGTTCAGGAATAAATGCATTATGGAAGAGTCAAGATTTTGTAGACGTAACGCTTTCAGCACAAGGAAAATGCATAAAAGCGCATAAAATGGTTCTTTCG